GCACCCTGACTGGCTCATCTCCTCCCCACAACCCTTCTGTAAGGGGATGTCCAGTTGCCTACAGATGGGTCTTGGGTCCCCAATCTGCACTCCCCATCATTCATAATGATTTGATTTTTTGTTCTTTGATGCCTGATACCTGATCCCTTCGATATCTTGTGATCACACAGGCTGGTGTGCTTCTTCCTTGTTGACTTTATTGCTTCTGAGCTAGATGGATGCTTGCTTACATTCAAGCCTTTAAGACCCCAGAATCTATATCTTTTGATAGCTGGGCACCATCAGTATTCTTCACTACATTTATGCACCCACTTTGTCTTCAGTGATCCTGTTGGGGGAGCAGGGTGCTTATGCACTCACTTGTCTTCAATGATTGTATGGGGAGGTGAGCACACAATGGTATGAATTTTTTTCTTTGATGCTTCATACCTTATCCCTTCAACACCTCGTGAGCACACAGGCTGGTGTGCTTCCTCCAAGTGGGCTTTGTTGCTTCTGAGCTAGATGGTTGCTTGTTTACCTTCAAGTCTTTAAGACCCTAGATGCTATATCTTTTGCTAGCTGGGCTCTATCAACTTTCTTCACCACATTTATGCACCCACTTTGTCTTCAGTGATCATGTTGGGGGAGCAGAGCACCAACCCACCCAAGGGGAGGACATTGTTTATATCTCCACAGGGAAAGGGGGACCTGTGCACTAAGACTTAAACCTGGTGCACCAAGAAGTGAATGAAACATACCGGCATGGAGTAGGGAACCAGTGGAGAGGTCTGAGGAGCTGGCCCCAATCCCAACTACTTGGACACATGCCCCTCACCCAGAATATTTTATTTCAGGGGAGAGCACTGAAGCTGCGGCTCAGGGAGAGGGACATTTCTGATCAGAGCACACGGGAGCAAAAAAAGAGGGAGGAAGAGAGAGTGGAGCACATCTGGCCCACCAAGCCTTGAGGACGATATTCCTACTCAGAGCAGCCAATCCACAGAGAAGACCATCTGGCCGGCCCCACTATGAGACACACCATCTCTCACTGACCCATAGCCCTACAGGGGACGACACTGGAGACACAGTGTGGGAATTGTGCCCGATCTGATCCCACCACACTGAGGCAAAACACTAAGGGCATTCAACAGCAACAAAGTCTCCAGGGAATAACAAAAATAGACTTTGGGGCCAGGGTTTGGCATCCCATCAAATTCAACTGGAAAACACTCCTGAAGGCTAACAAACAGTCTTTGAACTAACTACAGGTTTTTCTTTGTTGTTGTTGTTGTTTTGTCATTGGCTTTTTGTTGTTGTTGTTTTGTTTTCTTTTGTTGCATGGTTTTGATTTGTCTTGTTTTTGTGCATGTTATTATCTCTGCAGGTCTGTCTAAATAAGATAGGCTGGATGAACAATCTGGAGGAGAAAACAACGGAACCAACGGTTCCAGGGGGGCATGGGACAGGAAGAGGTGGGGGGAAAGGAAGTGGTGTTAACAAACCCAGGGACAAGAGAACAACAGGTGATCCAAATCAGTGGTGAGGAGGGTGTAGGAGACCTGGTAGGGCTTGATCAAGGGTAATGTAATTCTGAGAAGAATTACTGAAACCCCAATGAAGGCTGAGTGTGATAGTGGGACAAGAGGAAAGTCAAAGGAATTAGAGGAAAAAACTAGGAGGCAAAGGGCACTTATAGAGGTCTAAATAAAGGCATATACATATGTAAATATATGTATATTTGACGATGGGGAAATAGAACTACGTGCATATATTTATAGGTTTAGTATTAAGGTAACAGATGGACATTGGGCCTCCACTCAATTACTCCCTCAATGCAGGAACACTTTGTTCTATTAAAATGGCATTCCATGTTGCTCACCTTCCCGACATGATCACTGAAGACAAAGCGGGTTTTTGCTTTAACTATAATAGAACTGTTGTTACTTTAATAAAGGCATTTAGTATAAATTTATTTTGGTGCCCCAAAATTTTGAAGTCCATGCCTACCTTTCTTCATAATACACATTTCCCACACATTTTGAAGGCTGCTCATGCTTTTTAGTTTTTAAGACTCCAACTTTATTTAGTACTCATGTAAAATAGTCACTCAACGAATATTTGTTCCGAGAATGAATAATCTCAGATCCTTTCCAAAAGTACATTGTGAATTAGACAATTGCTATAACTGTTTACACTGGGGGGGGAAAACATCGAGGGCTTCAAATATCAGTACTTTATGACCTGATGAGATGAGTACATCGCTAGGCTTTCCATAATAGCGTTCTCAGAGAGTACGCTACTTTTCCACTCAAGGATAAGAGTTGTTTAGTCTCTCAGCTGAGCTCCAAATGACGCTGAAGCAAAAGACTGACTATGTGTCAGCAGGAGCAGGACTTTCCTTTTGTCAAAAGTTAGTGTCAACTTTTGGAAAGATCATCACAATATTCTCCCTAAAGCAAAAAGGTTTTAACTGGAAGTTTTGAAGTAGCCATAAAATGATAATCTCATTCTTCATTTGGGAGAAGCGACTGACCTATACATTTTTGTGGTAATAACTCCCCGCTTAGTACTACTGCAGAAATATTGACTAGATTATTTGGTAGAAAAAATTATTTACCTCTGGCTTAAAGTAACTAAATGTAAAATTGAAAAACAAATTTCTCAAAAGGGAACAGGTATTAGATATCAAGAATATCTAAGGTGTGAAGTGTCTAACTGATGCACAGATAGTATTAAAACTACACAAAACCAGTAAACTCAGGTACAAGGTGCCTGGGGATTTGCCTAAGTCCTCTATTAATAGGCTGCACAATTGTAAAGTGAGTGTGTCTTCAAGGTGTGTAACTGATAGGATCTAAAAGTCATAAAGATAAAGAGGATTTGCTGCTGTTTCCTTCTTTAAAGTTTACAGTGTTTTGCTTTGTATCTAAAACATACTTAATTTCCAAAGAAACCGTTCTAGCTAACTTAAATTACATATGCTCTAAAATTATAGAAACCCTGGTGTTGGATTTGTATGGTCAGTGGGTCAAAACCACTGGCAGCTGCTTGGGAGAAAGGCTTTCTACTCCCATAAACAGTTACAGGCTAGGAAAGCTACGGAGGGCCTCTATCAGTCAGCATTGACTTGATGGCAGTGAAGGTTTTTTTTTAAAATTATGGGAAAACTTGTGCTATCATGCTTAACATTTTTTGTGTCTATATTTTCCTACTACTTGATCACATTTTAGCATCCACTCTCACAATTCCAGAGAGAATATCTCAAGGTTTTTATCCAGGAATTCTGGTGGTATAGTGGGTTAAACATTGGATCATTCAATGGTGTGAGCCACCAGCTACCCCACAGGTAAAAGATGAGACAGTCTGCGTCCATAAAGATTTACAGCCCCAGAAACCCTATGAAACCGCTCTCCTCTATCCTATAGGGTTACTTAAAGTTAAAAATGGCTCCATGTAGTGGAACAGAATTTTATAGGATTGACACTGAATGTTAGTGTGTAGGATTGACTCAGTTACAATCTTAAACCTATCAGTTTGTTGTACCGTGTCTATGAGGTAAAACAAGCAACTAAAAACAACACTATTACAAACCACAAATTGTGTCTGCAAGGAAGCTTTAGAAATTCATGGAGAATCCCATGATCTTCTAATTCTTTTTCCCCATAAACTTTTGGAAGTCCCTCCTGATCAACTGAGGACTTTATCAATCAATAAATACAGAAAAGATTTTCAAAAATTTTAATGAAAACACACACACCTACTTCTTAGGACTAGTTGCTTTATGCAATTACAAATCACCACCATTTACATGTATAGAAATGGGATGTACTTGTGGAGGTGGTGAATGTTAGGATAGTATAGCTGTTACTTGTTACCATGATATTTTCTTCTAAAGCTATTGGTTAGATAAGGAGGTCTTCAAGAGGCATTAAGACCATTAGAAAAAAATCTATTCTCGAATTCTGTTTGTCTCGTCAATATTTTAACCTTCGGGATTAAATAATCTTTTGTCTTGCTTATCTGCCTATCTACCATATTTTACATTAAACAAGTAATTTTTTCCTTTCCTTTTCTGGGGATGAGGCTAGAGTGAGGCATGGCATTTATAATCATTATCATAAACATAAGAAAACACCAGTGGTGGCCCAGTCAGTTCTGTCTCCTGGTACCCAAGGGTAGAAAGCAGAATCGCTTCGTATGATTCTCAAGGTTGGGGCCTTCCAGAAACATCGCCGAGCTTTTCTTCCAAGGTGCCTGTAGGTGGTTTTAACTGATAATCTCTTGGTTACCTTTTGTGCTACCCAGAAACTTCAACATTTGACTCATCAATTCTACTCCTGTGCTGACTGTTCCTGGCTTAGTAGTCACATGGAGTATTCAGAAAATAACACAGAAAATATGAAATATCGAGCTGCCTACAATTACTTTTTCTAAGTTTATTCCTTCTTGTACATACCTGTATTTCCTTAAACATGAAGACACCCCACATTGCAGCTATAAGTCCTGGACCCTTAGATAAAATGAAAAACTTTAATTATGTATTTTTCTATGAATGCCAATATAGTCATTGAAGGGCTGGCCTATCAAATAACTAGATATTGTAAAAATATACATAACTATACTTTTAAGAAAAACTGCCAACCCTAACTCAATATTAAGTATATTAAATAACATTAAGTAAAAAACTAAGACATTTCTCAATTTTCTTTCATAGTTTCCATTTTTATGATCTTGATGGTGTTATATTATTTTATGCTAGAAAAATTCTATATGATATATTTTAATCAACAACATTTTAATGAGCAAATAACTTTTTTTCTGTTGAACTAGTTTCTTAAGACAAGAAATGAAAAATTTATGGAGAAAGTTTTGCCTTTCATTGGTATGAGAAAATCTCATAAATAAAGAAATTTTAGTATGTTCTTTTGGGTTTGATAATGTGTACACTTGGAAGTAGCATATCAATGTTATGTATTTATTTTGACAGATACTACTTGAAGTGTCGTTAGTTGACAAAATCAACTCATTATTACATTAAAAACTAATTAATACTAAGACACCATTTAGGGACCACAGGAAAAAATGGAAGTGAAAATGACAACAGAATTAAAGGGCAGGAAACAAATACAGGAATGAGCTGAAGAAAATGATGATTCTACAAATTGAAAACAATAAGCTGTAGAGGAGAAAGAAAAGAACTGGAATTTGGACTGATGTTGGCCTTGGCACAAAAGGAGCATTTTTATGATTTCTCCTCAAACCCTGCATGAATTGAGGAAGAGTTTCGCATAAATAATTCCCAAGCTTTTCTTCCCCTTCCGTTATTCCAACTGTCTAAATGACTGGGTCAACAAAGTCTGACTTCTCTCCTGGCATGTAAGCGAGGCAATAAAAATATATTAGCTCTTTGATTATCAGCATCTGGAAAAGTCAACATTAAGAGAGCCCGAGAAATAGGTCAAAGGCACTGCCAATGACGTCAGGTGCTAAGCCTCAAAATCCAAATCAAACAAGCAGCAGCTGGGCTTTGGGCAATCACCATCCTGATTCACAAAGAAATGGAAGGAAACCATAAAGGACAGGATATCATTATCATGCTATCATGCTAAGCTCTCAAGGTATTTTATCCTTCTGAATCTAAAAACTCATCTTCTTTCAGAAACATGGTGGAGGACAATACTAAAATGTATCCTTGGCTTTTGAAGAATGTTTAGAATTTATTATTAATAATTTCTCCCACATACAATGCACAGGTCATGCATTTCAATAGTCCAAGCAGATTCATAAGAGGTGTGAAGCCACCACTACAATCAATTCCAGTGCCTTTCTTCTTTCTTGTACTGGTTGTTAGCTCCCCATTTCCTGCCAGCCTGCCCTGCCATGGCCCTTTTAATCTATTGATCTGGTTGTTATCTTTACAGGTTTACCTAATCTGAGTTCCATACACAGAAAATCAAGACAGAATACAAACCAATGCTCCAACAACAATGACACAAAGGAAAACAGCAATCGATAGTAGTACAGAAAATATTAGAAACTGGAGCATCTCTACATTGAGTCAAGAGGGAGATCATTGACAGGATGTCACATTTTGACCTAATTACAGTTGCAATAATGCACCCTGCAGTGTATTCTCTCTGACAAGGCTTTTGCCATCTCTGGTACATAGCCAGAGGGATGCACTCATGGCTTCATCCACCTGGGGGACACTGCAAATGTGTTTGGGGCTTCCACTGTCATCCACAGCCTTATGCAAATCAGGCGTTCGGAAGCCCACCAAGTATGTGTGATCCAAGAATTGTGAACAATGAAATCCAAACCCAGAGGACCTTATGGTATTAGGATATAAATTGGAAAGATTTTTTGTGTGTGACAATTTCCATTTTTTAGTTAAACGTGGTCTAGGGGTTATTGGAAAGAGTAAAGTGGTTACAGGTAATAACACTTAGCCTACAACAAAGGAAACGTAAGTCAAAACGGTAGATTCTTTGATTCAATATGCTGGATAAAACCAGATAGAGCAAATGTTTCTCTATGTAGTGGAAAACTTTGTGACGAATATTACTTATTCCACTCTTCAGTGACCTTATGTGATAAATTCTGTTAAACATTTGGTGCTAGAAGAGAATTGATATTTTCTGAGGAAATAATGTACTACCAATTGATATGTATTAATGTGATGGTGATTGCACAGCTCTTTTTCATATGTTCATAATAATTGTACGGTATGTGAATAAAACGGCTTTAAAAAAAGAATTAGCTACTCTTAGATTACCGTTTTGGAAACACCAAACAGTTAAGCACTTGGCTGCTAACTCAATGGTTGGTGGTTCAAAATCACTTGGTGACATGACAGGAGAAAGACCTGCTTCTATGAAGATAAAACCACCTTGACCCCACTGCCATCGAGCTGATTCTGCATTATAATTACCATAGATAGGGGTTTCAAATATGTACATCTGCATGGGTGCAGGGAGCGCCTTTTTTCTCCCAAGAAACAGCAGGTGGATTTGAACAGCTGATCTGGCAGCTAGCCACCCAAAGTTTACCCAAGAGTGTCACCAGGGCTCCTTTCCTATAAAGATTACAGCCATTAAAAATCTACGTAGAGTTATTGGGTCATTATGAATCAAATTGACTCCAAGGCACCTGACAACAATGATTTTATTTATTTTAATAAATATTATCTCTCCTTGTGGAGTGTGGAGTGGGTTATTTAACACTGTCAAATGATATTTATGCCCCTAGTTGAGGAGTATATAGCATTCTCTCAGTATTTAACTGGTATATTTTACATAATTCTCCAGTATATTTGCCAAGTGATTTGGACATTTCTACCATTGAATAGCCTTAAAATGAAGAACAATACATTTCTTATTGAAAATACTGTTTTCTTAGGGTTAGGGTTAGGAAATAAACCAAAAAACAACAACAACAAAAAATGCTGTTTTCTTTGTGACTCCAATTATGAGGGTCTTCTTATAACTTACCAAATTTTGAAAATATTTTCCCTCAGGAGAGATTAGGAGTGTGAAAATATGAGTTCTTCATATTAAATGTTTAAATTATTTGAATTTAATTATTTGAATTTGTAAACTATTTTCATGAGCATAGTACAAGTGTCAAACATTTATTGTTTTCTCACCTAGAATGTGCATGAAAATGTAAGGATGTGAACAATTTATTGCAATGTGTTTTAGACTAGAGGATTTTAAAAAGATCTGTTTTCTAGGTTTACACAGCTGTGCCACCCAGGTTTTTAAAGCAAATTTTGTTTCCACTAATGATGTAGGCAGCAGAGGCGAGGATCCAGGTGAATCACTGGTCAGCAATTGAGCATGTCAAGGGTAGACGTAAGAGCCTAAGCACTAAAGTAATTCCTGGGCTTATATATCAGCTGTAGCATCATGATGAACCCAAAACAAAGTTAAAATTGGATTTTCCATTGGGGGCAGAAAGTAGCACTCCACTGACTACTGCCCATTCTTTTTAATCTTCAAAACGGAGATGATGCAAGACAAATATAGGCTTGTCTTGGCTATAGAAGGAAATAAAAAAAACCAAACTAAAGCATTTTTTCTTTTACCTGTGTGTCCCACAATTAGCCCCTAAAGAATCAGATGAGGCAAATATTATTTTGTCATGCTAATTGACGTTTTTCAGAGAAAAGACCTCAAAAATAGGCAATACATTTTCAAAGAGAGTCTGAAGTTCTTTCTCTCCCATAAGGTTATTATGAGTCCAGTATGACAACTGAAACACATTTATATCAGCAAATTGTTATGCAAGTATGGATTAATAATGTCATAAATAAAAATTATGATGTGTACAAATACCATTAGATAAAATTGAAACATTAAAAACAACAAAACTGCCAGGACACTGAATATCACAGATGAACAAACGTACTAATATGAAGTGAGAAACATTCCTTAGCAATCAAATGTATAAGAATTAGAGTGTGTTTATCTATTTGAATCCATTGATAAAAATTATATTTCTAAATAACCAAAATCCATGGCAATCTTCAGTGATTCGTTGAGAATGCTTCAGGAAAATTCAATTTTCATCGAAAAACAATGCCAAAAAAGTGATCAGAAAAAGCAAAACAAAAACTCAGCTACTTACAGCAGTAATTATTGGAAAACTGACCACAGGACTTAGAGAGTAATTAGCTATGAAACAGCAGCAGGTAGCTATTGCCCAAAGTATTCCTGATAGGAATCCTGAAACACAGATATGACATAGTTACCAAGCACATTCCAGTCCTAAAAAATTCATATTCTAGAAACATAAGGAATAATATAGTTCACATATAATGTATGTTCTTATATAATATATGTATGTTCAAATATAAATATATCAACACTATGAGCCAACCTGGGTTTTTAAGGTGAATTTTCAGGTCATTTTAGAAACTAAATAATTTCTTTACTCTGGATGCTGTTGGTAGGACTACCCAACTTTTCATCTTCTTGACATTAAATAGTTGATGATATAAAGATGAGACAATGGACACGAGCCTATGAAAGATAGTGAATCTAAACATGCCTGTAAATACAATTTATTCTAAACCACAAACCTAAAAAGAAGGGAAATGCCGAAAAATACAACATCAAGAAACAAAAATGTGATTTTTATATTTTAGAAGAACATTCAATCAGTATTTATTTTCTGTAAGTTGACATACATTGACTTAAGTGAATCAATTATCCAAAATTAAGCTTTGACATACTTTATGTAGCTTCTTGAGAAAATTTTACTAATGAGCCTATATTTCAAATTGAATAATAAAAAAATCCTAAATAAATGGGAAACGTTTTCACCAGAAAGGTCTAATTGTGTGATAGTTCGGTTTTGTGTCAACTTGCCTGGGCCAGAACTCTCAGTCGTTTGGCAATTGAGGTCTCGTCTATCATGTGACCAACAGCTCTGTGATAAGATCTGCTCTAGGAAGCAGCTAGAAGAGGATTAGGACTCTCTGCTCAGAGGAACAAGGTACAGTATAGGGAAGCTTCCATGGTGCAAGGAATGTGGTCCACTCCTATTTAAGCAGACTTTTTGATGGTGTGGATTCTGCATGTGTTGCAGTGCCCTGGTTCCATGACTTGAGCAAGGGGCCCACTACATCAGCTGGTGCCTCTGGGAGCTATCACTGGCTCGCCATATTGTTGCCTGCTGACCTTGGGTTCATTCGATTCAGCCACAAGCTTGACCTGTGCATCTGCCCCTGCCTTCTCCAGCCGGTGGTCTGGCTTCCTAGTTCATATACTTATGTCCATCAGGCCCAGTAGTTTTGTGAGTCAGGAGAATTCTCTAGCTTCGCATTTAACCCATGAAGGTGAACTAGGCTGGACTCACCCATACCTATAACTTTGTGCCACCACTTATTTGTCAGTTTGTCATCCTCTGGTGGCTTTGTGTCATTGTCAAGCTGGCAGCTATGTCACTGGTGTTTCAAATGCCAAGAGAATCACCCAAAGCGAATGGGTTCAGCAGAGCTTCCATGAAGAACAGATTGGGAAGAAAGAGTAGGCTGTCCACTTTAGATGAGTCAGCCATAGAAAATCTTCTGGATCGTATTGAAACATTGTGAGACACTGAAAATTTAATGAAGCACAGCAGAACATTGTTAGAGATATAGCCAGAAGTTGAGCCCTGTAGGGCAGAAGTTACTCAAAATGCGATGAAGGAAGAGCTGCCGTCTCAAGGAAAGAATCAGAGATAATGACACAGCTGAAATAAAGCCTGTAGGCACAAAACCTTCAGGACCTCAAATTGCTGATGGAGCATGACTCAAAATGAGAAGAAATGGTTACAAAGATCAACTAATAGTTGGAACTTGGAATGTACAAAATATGATCTTAGGAAAATTGGGTGTTGTCAAAATGAAATGGAATCATAAGGATTAATATTCTAAGTATTAGTGAGCTGAATTGGACAGGTATTAGCCATTTTGAATTAGAAAATCATATAGTTTACCATGCTATGAATGATACAATTCATTTCGATGAACTTATTGAACACTTCAGTATCTTATCTTGAAGTACAATGCTGTCTGAAAGTACCATGGACTGCCAAAAGGACAAACAAATCTGTTTTGGAAGAAGTATGGCCAGAGTGCTCCTTAGAACAGTGGTTCTCAACCTGTGGGTCGCAACCCTTTTGGAGGGTCTAACGACCTTTTCACAGGGGTCACCCAGTTCATAACAGTAGCAAAATTGCCGTTATGAAGTAGCAACTAATTTTATGGTAGGGGGGTCACCACAACATAAGGAACTGGATTAAAGGGTCGCGGCATGAGTAAGGTTGAGAAGCACTGTCTTAGAGGGCAGGGGGTGAGACTTCATTTTACATATTTCGGACATGTTATCAGGAGAGACCAGGCCCTGGAAAAGCACATCCTGCTTGAAGGCTCTCAGTAAGACGGACTGGAATAGTGACCACAACGATGGACTCAAGCGTTTGAGGTGGGCACGGGACCGGAAGCGTTTGGTTTTCTTGTGCACAGGGTTGCTATGAGTCATCTAACAACAACAACGCTAACCCAAGTCTTCAGTCTGAAATTGATCCAACGTGCAATCAAGGTGCATTGGTAATGATTGGAAATTGGAATGCAAAAGTGGGAAACAAAGAGGAAGGAACAGTAGTTGGAAACTATGGCCTTGGTGATAGAAACATGGTAGAATTTTGGTGAAAGATCGCATGGTAGAAGTTTGCAAGACCAACAGATCTTTAGGAAAAGTACTTCATGGAACACCACTAATGGTGCCTATACATTTGGTGTTCTCCAGGTGGAATACATAGAAATCGAGCTGACTACATCTGTAGGAAGAGATGATGGTGAGAGGCTCAAATCGGCAGCTAAAACCCTGTCAGGGGCCAACTGTGGATTAGACCATTAATTGGTCATCTGTAAGATCCAGTCGAAGCTGAAGAAAATTAAAACAAGTTCAAGGGAGCCAAAATACGACCTTGAAATATCCAACCTGCATTTTGAGAACATCTCAAGGACAAATTTGACACACTGAACACTAATGGCAAAGATCAGATGGTCTGAGAGGTGAGCTCAAGAACATGGTACATCAAGAAAACAAAAGGTCGTTGAAAAGCCATGAAAAGAGGAAGATCAAGGTGGATGTCAGAAGAGAGTTGGAAACGGTTCAGAATCATCAAGTAGCTCATGCAAATGGAAGAAATGATGAAGTAAACGAGCTGGGCCTCTCTGGACAAGGATCGTGGATGTGTGCCACCCCTGGCTCTTCTTTCTTGCGAGTCATAAGATTCTGTTTCTGCTTTTGAAATGGCTCACTTTATAGGCAGTGGCATGGCAAAACTGGCCATTACTCACTATTAAGTTTCCCTATTTGCAGGGTCCCTCCCAATTATTTGGTGCGAGTTACAAAGCCTATCCATACAAGAAACCACGTATGTTAGGCTGCTTTATCATAGGAGAATATCTAACATGCCTTGGGTCTTAGGTTTTATTGTAGTAACTAACATTTCCTACCCAGTTTTGAGCCAATTAAATACTTCATAGTAAGTGAACGGAGAATCAAGCATAAACCAGAAAGTATTGTGAGTTAGTTAATTGTGCCAACCTGGCTGATAATCACATGTGGGGCTAATTGAAAGGCGGAGGGATAAATGGGTGGTGAGCCTCGCCTTTCTAGCTCTCGGGTCTCTTGCTTTGTGATGGTCGCACCAGGGTGCAGCTGCCTTAGCAGTTCCCTGCTTCAGCTTGTGCAAGATTGACTTCCTACAAGACATCCCCAAGGAGAAGCCACATAGACCTATCCCGATGCAGCCCTGGGTGCTGGAGCAGCCGTGAGGAGACCCCTGCTAGTGCTGAGATGCTTATTCGTTCACTGACTCAGCTTTTCTCCTGCAGTCGGTGTCATTGCCTCTGTTTTGTGAGGTGGAGGACATTGTGGACTGGTGTTGGGTTAATGGGTTAATGTTGGACTTGTGGGCTTGGGCAGCATTGGGTTGGGATGTTTTTGTGATGCACACTTTCTTTACCTAAAACTCTCTTATACATGAGTTGCTGTGGATTTGTTTCTCTAAAGTACCTAGACTAGTACATATTGCTACTAGGTTTCCAGTTACTAGGTACTTGGGTTCCTTCCAAACAAAACCTATTCAGCACGTCTCTGCAAATGTTAAACATCTATAGATAAGTTCTCTCAGCAATACGCTTGTCTTGGGGTCATTAGGATACTTTTGGAAAACCCATATCAATCACCATTGAGTCCATTCCAATTCATAGTGACCCTATGTAGTTTCTGAAACGGAATGTCTTTACAGGAGCAGCGAGCGTCAGAGTGGCTGCAAAGTTTGAACCATCAAATTTGTGTTTAGCAGTTCAACTCTTATCTTTTCCACCTAAGCTCCTTAGGCTCAATCAAATAAGTGACTTGTAAGGGGATCTGCTGGATCAGTGACATTCATAGCAGAGAGGTCATCTCACAAGGTTATTGCATATGTTTTATTGGACTTTAAAGGGACAATCTCAACAGATTTTTCTTTGAAGACTGCAAGATGATCACAGGGTCTTATCCGAAAGAAGTGTCAAGGAAATTAAAAACTGCATTGATGAGGGAAAGAGCAGGAAAACAGTGCGGAGGAATTTCCCCCCCCAATCACAACACGGAACCTGCTCATTCTTTGTGGGTAGCAAAGGTTGTCCTAAGAGAATTTGATTGAGAGACCTTACCTCATCTACCCTACAGCCCTAATCTTGCCATTCAGACTTAGGTTTGTTCCAGAAATTCAAAGAATATTTGAGAGGAACAAAAATTGAGTCCGTCAAGGAGATTAAAACTTCTCTTTCAATGCTGTATAAATTGAAGAATGCAGAATTTGTTGGAGAAGGGTTACAGAGATGGGAACAATGCCTTCAAAAGTGTATGAACCTAGGTAGAGAATAGGTTGAGAAACTAGCCTTACATTTTGATGTTTTTGTTTAATAAAAGTTTCTATAATTTTATAGCAATATTTTTCAACACACGTGCACCTATACACACTGATGGCCTGATTTTCAGAACACACTTATTCAACCTAAATGAGGAAAGGACAGCAGTTTCAGAGTTAGAATATTTTCTGTAGTAAATATTCATACCTGGTAAGACTGCTTCAGGATATAGTTTAGGATTATTTTTCATGGCTAGACAGTAGGCCAGAAAGTAGACTGTACTTGTAAGAAAGATGCCACTGAAGTGCGCAAACACGTAATCTAAATCTGAAAACACAGATGATAAAACTCTTAATCATTTGGGTCATTTGAAATACCTTTGGATTTCTGAAAATAAAATAACATTTGAAAATTAACTTTAAAAGTCATCAGTTTTGTTTAACCACTCTATTTTTAACATGCTATTTATTGCATGCTTCCTAGTGATGGAATGGTGAGGGACTTACCCCTTAAGTGAAAGGTCGGAAGTTTGAATCTGTGGGGGAAATGGGGCAGTCTGCTCCTAGAAAGATCACAGCTTTGTAGTCTTACTGGGGCAGTTCTACTCTGTTACATAGAGTTGCTATGAATTCGAATCAGCTCAGTGGCAATGGGCCTAAGAGATGCATCTGGTTAAGACATTTGCCTACTAAATGAAAGGCTGGAGGTTCAAATCCACTCAGAGGTAACTCAGAAGAAAGATTTGGTGGCCTGTTTCCACAGACAACACTATGAAGCATGGTTCTAATCTGCCACACAGGAGGGCACCATGAGTTGGAATGAGCTTGACGGCATGCAAAAGTATGTTAACGCCCTCTTTTAAAGAAGAGATATTTGGACCAATTTTACTAATGATTAATTGTAATAGATCACCAGATGAACTGTGGCAGCGTCAAAACTCACCGCCAGTGACTCATTTGTGACTCACAGTGACCCTACTGGCCAGGGTAGAACTGCCCCTGTGGGTGTCTGAGACGGTAACTCTTTACTGGAGTAGAACATTTCATCGTTCTCTTGTGGTGTGTCTAGTGGCTTTGAACTGCTGACTTTGTGTCATCCACTACATCCCCAGGGCTATTTATGGTGACGTCAGGATGTGGGCAAAACATATCTGGGTGTTATTATGTGATTGTGGTGCTAGCGATGCATATGGAAAATACCCTAGATTTCCAAGAGGGAAAACAAATAGGTCTTGAGAGAAGTCAGGTGAGAGTGTTCCTTGGAGGCAAAGATGGCAAGACTTGGTCTCACTTCCTTTGGACATGTCAGGAGAGACCAGGCCCCGGAGAAGGACGTCATGCTTGGTAAAGTAGAGGGGCAGAGAAAGGGAGGAAGGATCTCAATGAGATGGACTGACACGTTGCTGCAACAATGGGAACAATTGTGAGGATGGTGTTTCCTTCTCGCATAGGGTTTTCTTTGTTTTCTTTGTGCTTAGGATTGCTACGGGTCAGAACCAACTTGATAGCACTCAACAACAACAACAACAACAATGGACAATTGGTCAATGTGGAAATGTCTTTTGCACATGACAGTCATATAAAATAATATTTCAAAAAAAATATTTCGAAAGTTATTGGAAGGAGGGTTTTATTTAACCATTTGGAAAGACATGATGATAGGGTTATCTCTGAGGTGCCCAAATCTCACAGTGCAATAAGCAGAGAGCACCCTGACTTCTTAGAGTCTCACTCTATAATGCTATTTTGGGCTCAATGTTTCTTTCATCTGAAAGGTTGACAAAGATAAGCTAATTGTTGTTAAGTTGGCCCCGAGCCCATAGTACTCTCCTTCCTGTGTGCCAGAGTGGAACTGGGTTTCCTAGGTTTTTGAATGACTGCTTTTTCAGAAGACCGCTACCAGGCTTTCATTTTGAAGAGCTTCTGGGTGAATTTGAACTCCCAACTTTTAGGTTGGCAGCAGAGTACCTTAATCCTTTGTGTACTACCAGGGACTCATTGATAAAAAATAAGTGGCCATGTTTAGGGAGGAAAGCTTAGAGGACAAGGCGTTTCCTCTTCTTTAAATGTCTTATTTTTCACTCTGGTTTATGTGAGAAGAGTAGACCCACCTATGGATCCCCACCAAAGGCAGCACAGCACGGCAGGAAAGGGCATAGCCACTTGGGTATATAGCCTCATCAGCAACTTTGGAATTTGCATGATTGAATAATAAATGGTTTACTTTTCTAAATTGTAAAATGACGGTGACAATATTATTGAGCTGGTAAGATTCCTATGGGAATTACAAAAGTTATTGCTTGCAAAGTGCTTAGAACAGAGTATAACACAGAGCACACACTATAACTATGTTTGTTAAACTAATGAAATAAAAAACAACAACAATGTCCCCATTACTTTTAAATAAACTGAAGAATGTTACTATCAGATTAGTTTCAGGATTGTCATGAGAAATGTTCCTAAGTGCTCACTCTTCTATTATATAAAGAGATTGTTCAGGACATTGTCTTTTTCAGGGGCAGTGATGACATTCCCCAATATAAGAACAACTGTAATCTTGCATAATGGGCTGGTTTTATATTATGTTCACGGAATTGTAAAACTGACTTGACTTGCCTTATTAGATGTAAAACATCTTTGACCAAATGCATGGCCCATTACTAGCAAACATATGTGTGGTACCAAGTTTTTAGACTTATGATTCGTTCTGTGTTATTTCATCATCCTCATTTTCCCCCTTAAAGATTCAGAAATGTGATTGCATAAAATCTTAACATTAGCATAAAAGAAAGCCAGAAATGAAAAAAAGGTGTGAGCTCGCTCTCTCTCTCTCTCTCTCTCTCTATATATATATATATATATATATATATAGAATCTGAGTGATAAAGCAGCTAGGATATCTATTTAGTCAATTACTTTAAAGTTGATTTTAAATCTCAACTTCATCAATCTAGCTTTCATAAGGTTTGTCCTCCAAATTTCCCCTTCATCCAAACTTAGATTATTTTAATCTTCTGTACCATTTAAATAGCACTTTATTGTTCATGATTTCACTCTCTTATGTTATGAGTGTATAACATGTTTCAATGTAGTTATAAGACCCCTGCTGTAGACACATTCTCATCCCCTATTATAAACTTCTATCAATGAAAACTGAGAAAACAGGGAGCATTTTGTTGGGTCTTTCAATGTAGCACTCTGTGCTTGAAAAATAACATCCTCTGACTAAGTAGGCTAGCTATATTTTGACCTTTAGGGGCATTTACTTGATTCTCAAATAATATGTACTATACTTTAGCTTTTTTAAAAAGAGGAGAATACATATGTTTTCCAAAGATCATCCAACCGGAAAATAAATTCCAAATCTCCCTGGAAATCCCGAAACCATATATTAAGATCCAAGTAGTTAAAATGAATGTTGACTTAAAGTAGATTATGTTTGTATGTCAAAGATCACACGAGACTTACTTAAGCAATTTATTCTTATTTTCAGTCTCTGGTGAATTTCTCATTCACCGTTCACAATAAAAAATGTAGATCAAGTCTATTTACTAATACTACTACCACACTTAGGTTTAGTATGATTAAGTAGAAAAATCGGTAACACCATAATATGTAAAGTGAAATAAGCGAGGATCTTTGCTCTTACCATACTGACTTGCACCTGCGTAAGCACTGTCGTTTCTTTTGCTGTGGTCCTTGATGTAAATAACAGGCACGAATGTACATCCATACAGCATCCCAGATATGACTGCAAGACAGCATCCCCTAAAAAAACAAGTCGCTATTAATCTTGGCTCCAGAGTATGTGAACATATACAAGTGGAATCACACCTAGAGCCTGTCTTCAAAGGTAAATCATAAGGGTTTATGCAGCAGTGACTCCATCCACCTCAAACTCTAGGGCTGGCAGAAGGACAGATATACTGTTCAGAGTCCAAAAGGGACCAGCTCTAAGAGTACAGGTTTAGACATTCACTGTACAAGGTTTATGGAAGTTAAACAGAGTTGTCGTCATATATTGTCAAAGATTGATGTCATTATATTAGACACGCACATAAACATGGCTCTCTAAAGAAATGATCAGATGTTTATGGACAAATACTATGTGGAATGCTTCCTTTTTAAACATCTTGTAATATCTAGAACAGGTCTGGGATAGACTACGTACTAGATACTTTCCTCTCCAACTCCCTCCAAACCATCCACTGAAATCTATAGACTTCTCTATGACTTAGTTAACTACACGGTATTGTCAAAAGGAAATACTCAGCCAAATAATCTGGATATTTCACATAAAAAATTTCTTTTTATAAGAAGGAAATACTGCATTTTAAGTACTATAGACATATTAACTCCTCAGACGTAGACCGGATCTGCATGAAGCAAAGTTTTCCAATGAATTTTGGGGGAAGATTAATATCTTGCAACAGATAGTGTATTTAATTTAATAAAAAGACAATGACGGGAAGCCGGAAATCTTTAGCCCCGAACTATTTCCTTCCAAAGTTATAAACAAATTCCCAAAGTGTATTTACCAGTAGTGCTTTAAGGAATGTAAGGCCATAGCCGTACGTTTCTAGGGCTATCTAATTACTGCATTCTAGTCACACCAGAAATCCCTGTATCATGGTGAAGCCTGGGCTCCATGCTCCTGGAAAAGTCTCCTAAACACAGACCAGGCAAAGAGACTCAAATCCGCTGCCATCAATGTGATTCTGACCCAGAGGGACCCTATATGACTGAGTAGAATTGCTCTGTAGGGTTTCCATGGGTATCAATCTCTGAGGAAGCAGACTGCCTCATCTTTCTCCCTCAGCATTACTAGTTGGATCAAATTTCCAGTGTTTTGTAGAAGTCTATCTCTTAACCTAGTGTATTGTGTGGGTCTTTGACTAATACCCCAGGCCTGCCGAAATATGCAATGGCCACAAATGTTTTTATTTCCTTTTAAAAAATCATTTTATTGGGGCTCATACCACTCATCATAATCCATCCATCCATCCATTGTGTCAAGCACATTTGTACATTTGTTGCCATCATCACTCGCAAAATATTTGCTTTCTACTTGAGCCCTTGGTATCAGCTCCTTTTTTCCCTCCTTCCCTGCTCCCCTCTCCCCCATGAACCCTTGATAATTTATAAATTATTATTTTGTCAGATTTTGCCCTGTTCGATGTCTCCCTTCATTCACTTTTCTGTTGTCCGTCCCCCAGGTAGGGGGGTTATATGTAGATCCTTGTAATCAGTTTCCCCTTTCTACCCCACCTTCCCTCCACCCTCCTGGTATCGCCACTCTCACCACTGGTCCTGGAGGGATCATCTGTCCTGGATTCCCTGTGTTTCCAGTTCCTATCTGTACCAATGTACATCCTCTGGTCTAGCCGGATTTGTAAGGTAGAATTGGGATCATGATAGTGGGGGCGGGGGAAGCATTTAGGAACTAGAGGAAAGTTGTATGTTTCATCATTGCTACACTGCATCCTGAGTGGCTCATCTCCTCCCCATGACCCTTCTGTAAGGGGATGTCCAGTTGCCTACAGATGGGCTTTAGGTCCCCACTCCACCATTTTTTTTAAACAACTAACAATGGAAGGAATACTTAAAAAAAAAGTTTGAGAGATGTTTTGTTATTTTCCACTTACAAAAATAACATTGATTTCCCCCCCAAACTCCTTTGTGTAATATTTATTGAACACCTACTATGTGCCAAGCAAGGCACTCCTGATGGGAGTGAGTGAGGTCAGCGCGAGTCCACCCAGAGGCCCCTTGGAAGAGGCCGTGAAAATACAGCCTCAGAAAGCTCCACCAAGCAGGTCTACTTTGACAACAATGGTGTTGCTGGGAGTGAACGTCGGCTTTGGTTTTACATTTCAGGCACGGCCTCTTTCCCACTATGAGGAAAGAGCATATAACATCTAAGGAAAAGCTTTATATCGTTGAGTCAAAAGATGGTATCGCCAGATAACATCCAGACAGCCATTAGTTGTATTATTTGGGCTATGTAGGAATTTATATTTTCATAATCCTTTACAAAGAAAAACAAATCTAAGCAATTGGTCTGGTGCTGGCCCCAATTCTCCCAGTTTCTCTATGGAGAGAGTATGGAGAATACAAAATGCTACATTGTACTGGACAATGAACATCTTGAGATTAAAAATTGTCCAACACGTGGGTGGAGGAATGTCAAGCGCAGGGTAGGCCTCCGGGGTAGGGCGGTATGAGAGCCCTCTCTTGTCTTGTTCAAGTGTGAGTGCTGGGTGCACGTTGGCAACTATACACACAGGTCTAGTCTCTCTCTACTTTAGGTCCCAAAATCTGGCAAATGGGATAATTTTTGTCAACTGTTTATCATCTAGAAAGACTAAACAAAAGGGGCTGAGCCTAAGGACCTCTGTACCCCCAAATTCAGCTGGGAACAAAGAAAGCCTCTCTTCCATGGAGCCAGGGAAGTCAAAGCCTGTGTTACAATTTTCCTTTGCAATTCACACGAGTACCACTTCACATTGGTCATAACCCTCACAATAGTCGTCTCCGATTTAACCAAAATATGAAACAAAGCAATAGAACAAAGAAATGGCCTCTGCTTACACCATGCGTTGCTGTCTGGTAGAAAGTCTATCCACCCAGGAGTAATTGTGCCCACTATCTTGAGCTGTGTTGTTCACCTGCTGAAAATATTGGCACAAAACAAACAAAAGAAAGAGCATCCCATTGATAATTACACTGGTGACAAGAAGATTTCCAGTGATTTTTCTTACCTCTCTCAAGCATCCTTTAACATCTGAACACATCTCTACAATATGCTCTGATTCTGTAGTAGCTCCAGGCTGGACTATGTCTAGTAATGTTCACCTTTCATTCGAAATGGTTTTATGTGTGAACAATTGGCTGTTTAAAATTTGTACAGTTCGATATATGGCAATTGTGATACCTCTATTATAACTAATCAAATATATTAACTCGTGATTCATTTATATATCTATCAGTAAAGAAGTTATAATGCAGGCAAATTTAGCCTTGTCTAACATGGAATAATCATAAATAATTCAGTGTTTTATTCTGAATTCACTAAAAGAGCACTTCCAGTCATGTCCCAAGATTTGGCTGATATTTGAAGCTAGGAAAGAACTATAGGAGATTAATATTTCTATTATTAGTCATCTACACATCTCACTTGGAATTTGATGTTATACTTAATCCTGCTTTGGTAAGAGATAAAAAATTAAATGGAAATTCTTTGTCATGACCAACTCAAACTTTCTTTTCAAAAGAATACCTGACACGATTATGTGTGGTGTATACTAAACAAATCTGCTCACATCATATATCAAACCTAGTTTATATTCTCTCCTTATACCTAATCAGTAAACCCTGTATCTTTTACCACATTGTGTTTCCTTCATTGCTTTTATTTTTTATTTCTCAAGTTAAGGAGAGTCTACATTCCTAAAGAAGATGTAAAACACCAAAAAAAAAAAAAAAAAGGGGAAAAAAAAAGAAAGAAAAACACCATAAACTTTCATCTACTCTCTTTGAGACATTTAGTTGCCTGTAGATTAATGAACATCTTCTCTTTTACACTTCAGATAATAATTATTCCACTTATTGTCCATTCAACTAAGGCTTCAGTTTTGATAGAGAGGGGAGAAAAGAAGATGGAAAGATGAATTTTTAATCCAGGAGAATGGGCAGTACTTTTGAGGGAGGCACCAGTCAGTGAGGATGTGGGGATTTCCATTCAAAGTCAGCTAGAGAGCCCTGGGTTCTCTGTGGGCATAGGGGATGTTTGACAGAGAGAGAGCTATCGTCTGGGCTCATGGGAACGCAAGGAAATTCTTGCAATCGCTTTTGCATCAGTAACCAACCTTTTGTAAAAGCAGCCCTTATCGCACCCAGACTTGCCTTTACAAGATGCACTTAGATTCTGCAAAGTAGAAGCAGGCTCCCTTATAGGTTTCCTACGCTCATCATTGAGTAGAGCAGGGCGTGGCATTTAAAAAGCAGAGGAAAACAAAGGGAAGAAAATCAAGTTGAGTCACTACCCTCAGGTGTCTTTCCTTGGTTCCTTTCATCTCTCCCTCTCCCTGCCAGGCTAGAACACCTTCCTCCCTCCTCTCTCAACACACTCTTGTGTTCCCCCAACATATTCAGGTTTCCCCTGTAAAAAGATTTAAAACATTCCAATATACATGGTTGCACATAAAATTCTTGACCGGGGTGTAATATTAATGAGATTCAATCAACCTTTGTGCTTGCTGAGTTTTCTCTTGGAATATTAATGAACCGGTACGCAGACCCACCCATAAGGAATTCATGAAATGTTTTCTATAGGCCTAAATGAAAAGACAACAACAACAAAACTTGTCATTGTTTCAAATCTATGCTTTGGTTTCCTGTGATCTCTCAGTACACCATCAGCTATCGTACTCACCTGCTCTACTATTAATGGTGTGCTGTCCAGGGAAGATGTGTGACTTGGTATTTCACTTTTGATGAGCAAAAATATGAAAGCACTGTGAAGAAAAGAAGTGTCAGTGAGAGGGACTATACTACGGATGGCTCATTAAGCTGCCTAACTTTTAAGGGGAAATACGGTTTAAACCAGCAAGTCAAACTGACATCATGATTAGTCCAATGTATGTCCTTCAGAGGTTCGCCAGTTCTCTACAACGGCCAACCTTGTAGTGTTTCTCAGTCCCTTCATTTCTATAGGTCAAAAGCTGAACTCATAAGCTCTCCTTCCTCCTGATTCCATTGCTGTAGTCAAAGGCCTATTTTTTTCTTTTAATCCTGCTCACCCTGGAATCGTATTGTAAGAGAAAGAGAAGTAAAAACCACAACAACATAATATGTCTTTTCTCTTTTATGGGAAGAACCCTCAAAGTTTCAAAACATTCTTAGTTGGTAAAACTGCAGAGAACAAGCATTCTCATATACCACGGATGTGCATACAAAATGGTACAGCTCCATAGTGGGATCAAGAGACAATTCCCCAAAGTTACTATGTGTCCACTCCTTTCTTACGCCAATCACTCACGCAGATGCACATTTCTCTCAGAACACTATTCTCATACAGTATCTTTGTAACAAATTGTCCATTTACTATTGATTGTTGAAGTAGTTAGAGAAGGTAAGATGTACTAATACACTAAATTCACTTCAAATGTGCAACTGCGGTATAATTATTACTTAATTCATTTTAGTGCTTTGGAATATATTTGCATGGTTTAAAAATTAAAACAATGTAAAATTTAAAAGCACTTATGAGTCTAAAGTAAGGTAGCTAAATAGGTGCAGAAGAGTGAACCTATATGTAATATGCTATCTTTGTATAAAAAATGAGAACTTCTTAGCTGGCTTCGTTAGTTCAGGTTTTCACTTGCTTTAAAATTGGAATGGCTCTGTATTCCCAGCTATCAGAACTGTAACTTTCTTTTTTCACCTTTATTGTTTGCTGCCTCTTGCTGCAACCAACAGTACGAAACATAATTTCATACATGAACTCTTCTATTCTTCACCACTTGCTACTTTACACCCTCTGTCAACTCCAATCTTTCACAGTCACTTTTCCTGACTTATGGTCCTTTGTTAACTCTCCATACGACTCATCTTTGTCTTTCTGCTCAAACTAAAGCATAAGCCAATTGCTGACTACGAGGAGACAACTATGAGGGGCCTCCTCACTGAATATGCCCAACACTGAGAACTGCCACAACACAATTCAAGCCATTTTCTATGCAATTCCATGCATAGACCTTTTTTCCCCCTAAAGATTTTTCAACTCAATAAAGCATAGGAGCCACATCGCTACATCTTATCTTTCCCTCAGGATCCTCACAGTACTTAACACAGCAAACCTGAGTGGGTAAAATCGACTTAAATGTATCAAGAGTGAAATATGTGCATGACAGTGACGATGGGATGCAGTGAATTTGCGTGGTCTGGTTCTTCTAGCTATAGTTTCTCTGCCTCCCATCAAATGACCTGGGTGGGAGCAGGCAGAGAGGATGTGTGGATCTCTAACGTGGGGACTGGTCAGTTTTACCATTCTTCTGAGTGTACAATGAGCCATCTCAGAAATGGAAAAAAGAGAGCTCGGTGTCATCCAATAAGAGAGCAGTCAGAAGTTGAGCAAATGCTCTGGGTCCCAAGATTCCTCCATGCTAAATCTCCTCCATCCAGGAGATAACTGTGACATCAGAGTGACAGAAAGGAGAGCACTGGTGGAGAGGTAGCTTCCACAGAGGCAGCAGCACTGAGGACACCAAGCAGATTGGTGTGCTTCTTTTATATGTGGATTTGGGGTTAAAGGGAGTGTTAGTCTGGGTACTTTAGAGAAACACATCCACAGAAACTCATGTATAAGAGAGTTTTATATAAAGGTTACATGCACATCAAGAAAACATCCCAGCCCAGTGCTGCTCAAGCCCACAAGTCCAACATTAACCCATATGTCCAACACCAGTCCACAAAGTCCTCCTCCATCTCACAAAACGCACGCAATGATGCCGACTGCAGGAGGAAAGCTGAGTCAGTGAACGTATAAGCATCTCAGCACTGGAAGGGGTCTCCACACAGCTGCTCCAGCACCCAGGGCTGCCTCGGGGTAGGTCCATGAGCCTTCTTCTTGGGGATGTCTTGCAGGAAGTGAGCCTTGCCAGCTGAAGCAGGGAACTGGCTAAGGGAGCTGCACCCTGGTGCGACCATCACAAAGCAAGAGACCCGAGAACTTGAAAGGCGAGGCTCACTGAGCCATTTATCTCTCTGTCTTCAATTAACCCCACATGTGTTTATCGGCCAGGTTGGCACAATAAATTAACTACCTTAAAGGTAAAGACATGGAAGATGAAGGAGGTTTGGAATTTGAATATTTATTGAGAGAAGGAACTCAGGAAGGGAGGACCAGTTTGTCAGGAATGAAAAACTAAAACAAGTCCTTTCAGTTTTGTTGAAAGTAGCGAGAGGGAAACGTTGAAAGTAGAGCGAGAGGAACTAAGCCTAGTGCTGGTGGCGAGGCCCTGTCTGCATACTTTCACATAAGAGCCAGATGGAATTGCGGGGCACGCACAGAGAGCTGTCTAGACTGCTTTGTGGTTAGGTAGGACTATAGCCCTGAGGAAAGCTGATGGCTAGAAACAAAGTTTGGGGGTGTCTCAGGAACAGAAACATAAAATAGGTTAATAGCTGCAGCTGTGAGAGTAAGTACAACTCCTTAGGGAAAGAAGAGCAGAATCTGGGGACAAGCCAAAGCACATTTTTCCCCTGAATATATAAAAAATCTGCTTTTTGAAATGAGCTTCTGGGTCTTCTGTAAAGTCAAAGAAGAAAGGGTGTCCTGGATGATGTCTTCATGCCTGCTGCACTCCTACACTCAAATATTCTCTCCTAAAGTTAGGCCTGTTGTGATTAGCTGCCTTCACATTGGCTTCCAACTCAGAATGACCCCGTGCATAATGGAACAAAATGCTGATGGGTCCTAGCCCATAATCAACTGGGGATCAGGCTGGTGAGATCCAGAGGGTTTTCAGGGACTGATTTTCAGAACAATAGTTCAGGCCTTTATCTTTACTCCACATTAGTCCCAAAGCTCTGATGAAACCCATTCAGCATCCTAGACACACACAGCCTCACTGACAGACCAGTGATGGCTAAGAATTAAGTACATTGTCTTAGAAGTGAACCCAGGGCTCCCACATGGAAGGTGAGACTCCACCTTGGAACCAGGAGTGCCTCACTGAACCTACGCTGAGAGGACTGAAAGCCATTACTTCCTAGATCCTTTTGGCAGCATGACCATGTTCCGTTTAGGTTCTACCAAGGGGAGGTACTTGATAGAAACATTAAAGGGTGGGCGAAACGACTCTGTTTCGATGGTGGCTTTAGTAGCTTCTGCAGTAGTAGTAGTTCAGTAGAGGCTAGGTCTGGCCACAGTGAGCAACACAATTTTGTATCATATCTCCTTCCCTTTTCTGCTCCAGTAGGTCTGTGTGTGTGTGTGTGCGTGTGCACACACACACAATCCCCAGAATTCAAGCCCAGTTATTGAAAAATACTTCGTGTGGTTTTAGCTTTACAGAATGACTGACGTTTACCATAATCTATCACAAGGGAAATTGAAAGATGAGAGATAATTTACCCAATCCTTTAAATAAATATTGGGCACTAGAGAGGAACATTAACAAACTAATTTTTTAAAAGAAAGCAACATAACCATATTTCAAATATTTCTTACATTGACCCTGAAGCTCTAGGTTTATTAAATGATTGTCTTGCAGAATAAATTGATTTAACTGAGTTAAGAAATGCAATGAAAAGTCAGTAAAGACAGAGAAGGGGCTCTAGATGCACTCTGGGGTGACGCAATTGCTCTTCCTCGCCGCAAACCAAGTTCCAAACAGACGTGCATGATCCTGAGGCCCAACCACTGACGCAGCTGTGTGCCGAGCTGTGGCTGCCCAAAGAGGAGAAAGTACTTAGACGTAGTCAACTAATAACGCTTCTGTGGAGTCGATTGCAACTTGCTGTGACCCTGCAGGGCAGGCTAGAACTGTCGCCATGTGTTTCCAAGACTGTAAATCTTTACAGGAATAGAAAGCCTCACCTATCTCTCAAGGAATGGCTGGTGGTTTCAAACTGCTGACATTGGGGTTAGCAGCTCAAGTTGTAACCCACTGCGCCAGCAGGGCTCCTCTGTGCACTGAATAACTAAAACCCAACTTAGTGCCACTGAGTCGATTCCGATTCACAGAAGAATTATTAATAAAAGCTGGCTAGTGTATAGAGCTTTACATATGTCTAGTTATATGTAAAAGTAGTTAATAAATTTTATTTAATATAAGATTGGTACTACTAAGTATCCATTATCTCTACTTTAAAGAAGAAACAGCTGAGGCTGAGAGCAATGATGTGTTCAAGGCCCCAGAGTAGATGTGATAGAACAGTAATAACTGATTTATAACTTTAGTGATGGTATTGTTTCTAAAGAAAGAAATGCAATGAAAAACAATGCAGGAAACAGGCTTTAAATAACCATAAAGTGAAAACTCAGGCATAAAACATCCTGTTGTAAAAGTAACATTGCTTTTATGAGAGTCATTCAAAGCAATATGAATTCTGTAGGAATTGTACAAGATACATCAAATTTCCTTTAACCAAAGTGTCAGAATCCTGCCATTTTAGGATAACCCGTGTTATTTCTTCTTCAATTGGACTAGATCCACTCTCTAAAGCAACATTTCCACGATGAAGAGATTGTTCCAGAATGTGGCTGGGGAAAAGCCATCATTACTGGAAGAAGGGAAATATACTGTTCTTTCCCTAGTGAATAATAATAATAAATAATAAAGGCCTAAGGTTTTTCCTTTCCAAGCAGTGCTCTCAATTCTGTGAAGCTCTGACAGGGATAATAAATGGATTTCCGAGAGGAAAGGAGATTGGATTTAAGATGACCCAGTTCCGGTAAGAAGGAGCCCCGTGGCACAGTGCCCGACGCCATGGGTGGCTAACCAAAAGGTGGGCAGTTTGCACAGATAAGCGGCTGCAGGGGGGGAAGAGGTGGCAGTCTGCCAAGATTTACAGCCTGAGAAGCTCTATAGAGACTTTCTATGAGAACGGACGTGCTGGTTACTGGGTTTGGTTTGGCAGTTTCGATTTTGTTGAGAGGTTTATTGACCGAACACATCCATGAACAGCGTCAAAGCTATTTGTTTCCCAGTAAAGATGCATACACTTCGTATACAGATTCAGAAGAACCCTTTCAACGTTCATACAGTAAGTATTTTCACAGGTGAGAAAGTTTTTATCTAGTTGGATTAAAAGACAGTGAAAGAAACAGATGGATGGTTTCCAGGGGTGGGAGGGGAAGGAAGGCAGGGTGAAGCATAGGGTCAAGGGTAGATAGGTGCTGAGTTGGTGAAGGGGAAGGTAATATACCACAGAAAACAAACAAACGTATTGCCCTAAGTTGATTCCAACTCCTATTGACCGTATAGGAAAGGGTAGAATGCCCTTCTGGGTTTCTGAGACTGTAGCTCTACAGGAGTAGAAAGCTTCATCTTTCTTTTACAAAGCAGCTGGTGGTTTTGATCCGTTGACCTTGTGGTTACCAGCCCACTGCATAATCCACTAGACTGCCAGGGCTACATCCATCGAACAAAAGGGAAATGGGATAAAGTGGGGGTGGGCTGGTGTAGGGAAAACTAATGCAAGGATTAATAAATTGCTGAAGTTGTAAAATACAGAACAGATGATTTGATATGTAAAACTCCACCAAATTCACAACCAACAGTTGAAAAAAGAAAGGGAAAAGAAAAATCTCAATGAAATTGAAAACAAAAGTGAGTGTGTGACGAGACAGGTGATGCAAAGTTGAGATAAAATGGAGACATCTGACCTAAAATAAAAGTGGTTGAACAATTTAACGATTTAAATATCTGTAATGGTAAGGTTCACTGTACCCATCACACAGATTCAAACCCTGTTGCTCAGAAATTAAATAATTAAGGCTTTGTGGTTAGGCAACAACTGAATCTGTACTCAAACTTTATCAAAATCCTGTGTGTTAGATCTCGGGAGATCTTTTAATAACTAACCTGTTCCTGAAAAACAAAGAAACTCACTGCCATCCAGGTATTTCCAATTCCTGACGACCCCACAGGAGAGGGTAGTACTTTCCTGATGGGTTTCCAAGAGTATATGTAAATCTCTATGGGAGTAGAAAACCGTGTCTTTCTCCCACAGAGTGGGTGGTGGTTTCAAACTGTTGACCTTGCAGTTAGCAGCCCAGCACTTAACCACTCTGTATCCAGGGTCTAGCCTATGTCTGTCCTATCATCCTCTTACCATTATTTGTGACTGGTCATAAGACCCCCTTGGCAACCACAGCCATTTGCAGTCTATTTTTGCCAGTTGTAAGGAACCTGGTGGCGAAGGGGGTAAGCACTGGGTTGTGAACCAGAAGGGTGGTAGTTACAATCAAACAGCTGCTCTGCAGGAAAACAAGATATGGCAGTCTGTTTCCATAAAGATTTAGTCTTATAAACCTCCCAAACCCAAACCAAACCAGACAGGTGTCAAGTCAGTTCTGACAGCTTAGGACAGAGCAGAACTGCCCTGTGGTTTTCTAAGGCTATAAATCTTTACACGAGCAGAAAGCCTCATCTTTCTCCCACGGAGTGGCTAGTGGGTTTGAACTGCTAGTCTTGTGGTTTGCAGCCCTAGTTAGAATTGACTGGATGGCAACAGGTTTAGGGTTAGTTATTTATTTATTTTTGAATTTATATAAATATTATGTCAAAAATGCTTTTCTCTACCCCGCCTTTAACTGACCTCGCTGCTGTAGCCAATCAGAGAATTGTTACTAGCCCCTGATTTAACCATTTAAGTGCTTTCTGTATGCCTACAACTCCTAGTAACACTTACCATATGGCGGAGTATTTGCCCAACCGCAGCTATCGCTATTTCTTCAATAAAACTCTTCATGGACTTTCATTTTTAACGATTTTAAACCTGATTTTAAAATCATTTTAACTTGATTTTCCTCTATGAAGATGGAAGATGGGGTGGGGAATACAGTGTAACTGAGTAGTCAATAGAAGAGAGAATCAATGGTTATCACAAAGGTGGCAGAAAGCCAGTATGCATTTATATAATATTTTGGGGGTGTCCCTGGGAGTTCAAACAATTAATGTACTTGGCTGCTGATCAAAAGGCTGAAGGTCGAAAGTAAAACCTGATGATCTACTTGCAAAATACCAGCCATTGAAGACCCTATGGAACACAGGCTGAGGATGATACACACTCAAGGAGCCAGGGGAAGGGCAACTAAGAGTGTCACAGTTTTTAGCTTGCAAAATAATTTATGAGCTACAGTATATTATGATTGTCTTTCTATATTTCATAGAGTAACACTGAGCTTCATAGAAGTTAACCCATTTTCTCAGGGTCTCAGAGGCCTTGAGAACAAAAGCCGGGATTCCTGAATCCACCTCTGATCCTTTTTATCTTCTAAAGTCCAGTCTGTCATTGTAAATGAAGAACTTGAGCAAAATATCCTACAGATTTTCTAAAATGTAGATTTAGGAAAATGCACTTCATCCAAACCCAAAGCAAAATCAGTGGTCATTGAGCTGCTTTGTACCCTGGGAAATCCCATGTATTACAGAGTGGAATTCTTCCGGGGTGGTGGGGGGTGGTGGTGGTGGTGGTGTTTCCTTGCTGTAATATTTAGGGACACAGATCACCAGGCCTTGCTTCCATGGCTCCACTGGCTAGGTAGGAACCAACATGCTCAAGTAGAAGATGAGTGCATATGTTCCGCAGCACCTACAAATCTTCAAAAGAAATATTTTCAACATTTGGGAGAGTAGTTACATCACTAATAATGGCTGCGTACCTTACTATTGATAGCGCAGCTCCAATGTCGTTGAGCAGTGGTTTAGACACTTCTTGTGCATCCATTCCAAACCAGCCGAACCTAGACGTTCACAAAGTCATCACATGGTGATCGATACTCTGGAGAACATGCTCATTCATCACGTTGAAGGATATGGACTCAGAACCAGATTTCAGGGTTCAAATCCTGGGTCCCCTACTGTCTGTGACTTTGGATAAGTCACTTACCTTTACTGTGTCTCAATTTCCCTTGTTTAAGAAGCGGATAGTATTGTATCTAATTCCTAGATTTGTTATGAAGATTAAATATTAGTCTACTAAAAAGTACTTGCTATTGTCTCTTATTAAGACTAATGAGGAAGGAAAAATATTTTGGTCAAGTAATTAATATGATGCTAATAAACTGACTGGGATTTTGTAGAGTATTTGAAATAGACTTTTAAATATCTGTTTGATTAAGCATCTCTACTTCTCCCCCATCCCCCCATGTATTGACACTGTAGTGATGGCTACCAACAATCATTGAGACCTATCTAAGTGTCAACAACAACAACAAAATAAGTGAGGCAAGAGAAAAAACATAGCCTTACTAAAAAGCTGACTGGGGAGAGAAAGGAAGGGACAGAATGTATTGAGGTTAGTTTGCTGTCATTGAGATTGTTGTAGTTCTGTGGGCTGGAAGGGGCATCGAACAGAAGGTAACATCTCCCATTCGATCCATTTTCCCAATGTTGACTGAGGGCAGCAGCATGCTGGCACATTCCATCCAACTGCACTTCGTGAGGTAGGACTGCCTTATATTTGTCCAATAAAGTAACCTCTAGCAAATGTGTCTCTTTGAGATGTGGCTTGCACACCCGAGGAACTGAAAGTTTCATCTTACTAAAGTTTATCAAATTTAAATATAAATAGCGAGATGTGGTTCGTGCCTACCATACTGGACAGTGCAGCTGGACAGCAAAGGTTTGCAAATGTTTTCTTAAAGGGTCAAAAGGTAGCAATTTTAGGTTTTGTCGGTTTGATGTCTCAAGAACCTATTCAGATAAATTCTTGGAGGAGATTGCAAAATCACTAGAAGGCCCATGGAGCAAAAGAAAGAAGAAGCTAATCACTCAAAACTCTGAAGCCCACAGTCTGGACGTGTTGTGGGAACATTCACTTCTGCCTTGTTCCACTGCTGCTGAAACAACTGGAAGCCCCATCCAAATAGAATGGCTTCTTTCACAGTTTACTAATATAGGCAAATGTAACCCTCGAAAACATATAAAACTCAAGTTTTAGTTATAGAAATACTTGAGATGCCTGATGTAGCCCACTGGGTTGTAGTTGGCTGATGAACATAGAGAGGTCTAGAGGGTAAAAGCAGGCTATTTAGAATAAAAAAATTTAAGGCTTGAATCTTGACTGATTAGTTCCCTAACCTTTAGCGTATTTTCCAAACTCCTTTAGAGAATTTTTTTTAATAAAGTATGGTAATTCTTAGAATAATCTTTGAAAATTATATGCAAATAATGTAGGCACATGACCACCAACTTGTCACACCATTGAAAGGGAAAATAAACACCAGTTCCCTTTCTCCTTCCTAACTTTTGCTACCTAAAAATCTTGACTACATTTGATGAGATATCTAGACAACTTATCTATAACACAGGACAAATAATTATTAAAGGTGGCTTATTTTTGATGTGTCTATCTTCGCAACTGTGACTGCTGGGAAGTTAACAATCACATGCTGGCCCTCAGTAAGTCTCATCCCTAGCACTTGTATTAACTATAGCATGACCACAAGGAATCTAGTTGAAAAAGTTTGACTTGTGTTACCTTGAACTTGCCCAGCCAGTTAAGGAACTAAATGATCCCCAGATTAATATGCCAAGGCCCAAGCCAATGGTTTTAATAATTGGGACAACAGCAATATTTCCTGTAGAGTTAATATACAAAAGAAAAGTGTTACTTCAAATACAGAAAACACATATATAAATTGAAATGTTTTTAACCTAGTTTAAGTGGAGGCTTGGCAGATTGGGACACATTTACTACTTAAAGTATAGTTGCCCATTTTTAAATAAAAGATAAACATTTCTCTGGCATTAACTATAATTGCTAAAGGAACGAAGCTTAGAGCAAAGTTTTTCAAAGGAAAATCTTTAATTAGCTCTTTGCCTAACTATGCTGAACTCTTCACTCCTAGTCTCATGGCTTGTCCCAGACACTGCCAAACATGACATACTAGTAAAATCTCTGAGTCAAACAGGGCAGATGGCTTCAGTCGCAATATGGTCCTCCATGTTCAGTGATACTTCTGGATCCTTAACTTCATTGCCTTGTTCTCTCGAGAGGCACTCGATTAAATCCATGATTCTTTTGCCCCAGATCTCAACCAGTAACCTCTCGCTTCATTCTTATAATCTCTTCATGAGCTATTTCTTTTCTTGGTTTGCAGGATGGCCACATCGTGTCATGTTTATTCCATTAGCTCTTTCTCTGGCTGCTATTCTTCATCATACCCAAGTGCATCCTGGAGAGGTACTTCAGGAGACCCGCTGGTGCAGCGGTTATATGTCTGGCAGCTAACTGAAGGTCAGCAGTTTTAAGCCACCAGCTATTTCACAGGAGGAAGATGGGGGCTTTCTACTCCCATGAGGAGTTACAGTCTTGGAAACTCACAGGGAGCAGTTCTACCCTGTCCTATCGGGTCGCTATTGGTTTGGTTTAAAGAAATATTTTGAATGTATTCCTCCTCTTGATCTATTCTTCTTTATGCACTTCACCTAATCCCAGGATTTCGGCTGTCAGCTAGAAGCACGTGCTCCCATTGCCATGCCATTATCAAGATCCGCCTCTGGAGTTTGAATGCCTCGCTCCAAACTATGGGTGAGAGAGCTGCCAGCAGCTGTCCGATCATGTGGGAACTTCCAATCTTCAAATTCACGAGGTCCCAAGCTGAACTCATCATTTACTCTTTCAAACATGCTGTCCCCTTTTTGAGTCACAGATGTCAGCGATATCATCGCCTTCCTAATCACCAAAAACACATGCTGCATCACCATGACTGGCTCCTTCCTTTTTCCACTCCCCCCATTCAATCAGGTACTATGACCTATAACATTCATATCTACCCCGTTTCTCTAATAGGACCTTCTACACTTCTCAGTCCTGGTGGGTGAGAATAAATACTCCAGTGGTTAGAAAGAACTTCTAGATGAATTCCTTTCTCTGCCTCCCATTCCCATTATGCATGATAAGCATTTTAAGATAGAGATAAAATGTATTCATTTAAATTGTACTAAAAGTGTAAAAGTTTAATTCTTAGTTCTAGCCTCCAACTTATCAATTCCACTAAGTCATTTAAATCCTCAGAGATTCAAATTAAATCAGTACACTACACATGACTTCAAAATCTATTTGGTTTTGAACAAATGATTTCTAAAGATTCTTGGTCCTTAAAGATTTTATTCACTTAGCAAAGCTTTTCTGGAGTTCGATCTGCATTAATAAAAGGAAGCTATTCCTGATTATTCAAGCCAAGGACATTCATTTTATATAGTTACCTAACCGCTGGGCCTATAGCCATCGTGATGAATGCAGACGATAGCGAAGTTATCAAGGGTTTCAGCTAGCTTGGAGACGTAATAGCCACAGCAGCAGCAGTCAGGGAATCAAATGAACTGTTGCATTGGACGCAGCTTCCGTACCAGGCTTCTTTAAAGTGTGAATGTTAACATTATCCTCGTAGGGTGTCAGTGTACAAGAGGAAGACGCTTAATGAGATGGGTTGACATGGTGGCTACAACAATGGGTTAAAACATAAGAACGAGTGTGGGAATGTTACAAGACTGGGCAGGATTCTGTTCTGTTGTATACATTGGGGTGCTATGAGTGGGAAACAGCTCAAAACAACACAACCGCAATTTCAGACAACAGAGGAAGGGTTCTTGGTTTTCTGTGAACAGGTATTTTTGGAATGACAATGTATCAGTCCTTGCCTCCTTTTAGGCCAAGTCCTTAAAGACTTGTAGAGACTGGTTGCTGTTAGGTGCCCTTGAATCATTTCCAACCCATGCACAGCCGCAGGAAACACTGCCCAGTCCCGGGGTATCTCACATTGTTTCTGTGCTTGGGCCTATGTTGTAGCTCCAGTGTAAATCCATCTCAGCAAGGGCCTTCCTCTCTTCCACTGCCTCTCTACTTTCCCTAGCTCGATGTCTTCTCCAGGGTCATGTCCCAAGTACACGAGACAATGTCTCACCGTCCTTGCCTCTAAGGAGCACTCTGGCTGTACTTCTTCCAAGAGAGATTTGTTCCTGGAGACTTGTCTGCAAAGACTACCTAATTTAATCAGTATGCTTTGATAAACATGCTAGCTACAAATATGGCTAGGCCACTTAAAACAGTGTAACAGGTATACTTGAACAGATGTAGAGCACTTGAAATATTCGATTGTAATAATTTACTGCCAGGCATTTAGAGAAAAATTACTAAGAGACTAGAATGAAGAGATACACCCAAAATATTTAATGAATATCTAAAAAAAAGAAATACTAATTTCTAATATTTATGACTAAAGATTATTTGTAATTACTGCTTGTGCTGTTTCTTCCTATTGTGAGTGAGAGTTATTTTGATTATGGTGTTAAGTAGTAAAGAATATGGCACAGCATACGTTACCTGTTGCCCAAATGCTTCCCCCAAGCATTGCAAGAGGCCAAAATTTAGGGCAATGTAATATTAGATTGGCCAACAAGGCTACCAACCATATTGCAGCACACAGAACCCACTGAAGAAACATTCCTGAAAATAAAAGAACTGGGTATCAGCAGCCCGCATTGATTTGGTTCAATCAGTGCTTAGCAATATCAATGGCAGACTATTTTAGGAATGGCCACAATTGATTGAATATATGTGGCACTTGGCATATTTCGTTTAACTTTTACAACTAATTTTCAATGTCGGTATCTCTGATGCAATGGATAAACAATCTGAAGGAGATTAACCAATTTGTCCCAAAGCTAGTATTTCAGAGAACAAGGTTTAAAAATGCACAGGAAATGGTTATAGTATCTTCATACATGTGCAGATTTAAATGGAGGCTATGTTGACAAATACAGGCTTCATATTTTGGTATTTTTGTTACATAAAACATGTTAAAGGAAAAAACATTTGACTCTAAATAGGGTATACGAAGGAAAACATTGCTGTTTGTCACCTAGTAGATAAATTAAGAATTTTTTTACCCAAGAATTTTAGTGCGACCAAGTTGGTATTTTCATTCAGATACTACATTGAATGCAATCGCCCACCAAAGTCATGGCACCGAGAACGGCAGAATAACACAACAGTGATGCAAACCTTTAGGGCACAGGGTTTCCTTAGGCCTCCTCTGGGATGAATGTGACTGATTTATGGCTACAGGCAGACGTCATGGCATTGAGTTCCATGGCTGACACAAGCCGGACCGTGCACATTTGAGAATTAGCCTTCTTGGCCAGGGCTGACCTCCTTTTTTATGCTCTGGGTTATCTGAAGGCTGTCTGGTGAAAGGAGGTATTTTCTAACTTTCTGCACCTTCTGCTCTCAGGGGATGAGGGGTTGAAGGATTAGAAAAGAATCAATAATTGACATTGGAAAAATCGTGCAGCAGTTACAATGAATGTAGTCTGCTGACCCTAACTCTGGAAGAGTTTTTCCTATCTATATTCAATCTTATGGTGGAGGAGAAAATTGGCTGGTAACCTTTAAAACCAAGCGTTAAGATGATAGGGGTGAAATGAAACTTCATTTGACAAATTCTTTGTGTTGCAAATGTGAAACAGAAAATAAACGAGTTGGTAACTTGCCCAGGATTACATAGCTCGTATGAAAGACCTAAAAGACCAGGCCTTGTACCCTGTGCTAGGTTTCTTTTTGTTGTGCTCCCAGTAGTTCCTGTTTTTCTCACAGCTCCAAAAGAAAAGGAACAACAACGATAGGATCTGGATCTATGGGGGGAAGATTTGTACCACACCACAGGGAGTCCTAATGGCAATGTTGGGTAAGCATTGAACTGGTAACTATAAGTCAATAGTTCAAACCCATCAGTTGCTCCACAGGAGAAAGATGAGGCTTTTCTGCTCTCATAAAGATCTATAGTCTTGGAAACACTATAGGGGTTTACTATGAGCTGGAATCAACTCAACTGCAGTCATTTTTTTTCTTGGTTTCTTTTTTATATCACAACATAAGGAACTGACGAGAGAACACAAACAACTGCTAGCAGGTGCTTACTTCCCGACAGATGCTCACCACTTTGTCTCCAATCTCCTGGCTTTGACACCCAAGAAAGGTAGATGCAAGTAA